GGTTTTCTGAAAGATATAAAAGGGAAATTCCAGCTGTAAAGTCAGCAGATTTTATATGGAAAACAATTTCTGCTGCAAAAATGTTAACCAGCAGCAATCCAGCCCCATATAGATCTATACACAGAGTATAAAGATAGTCATGGGCAAAAAGTTGGCACCCCTGCATTTCTGTCAGATAAGGCACCACTTTGTGCAGGAAATTGTTGCAGTTACAAATGTTTCGGCATTCTCATGTTTATTTCCTTCGCTTGTATTGGAATGACACAAAATGACAGCTTTTTGGTGCAGCCGATCATTCTACTGTTTTCAGAAAAAGAAATGAGGCCTTTAAACAAAAAAAATCCAGTCCCTACAGTCACACATGGTGGAGGGTCACTGATGTTTTGTGTTTGCTTTGCTACTCCAGGCACTGGATGTCTTGACTGTGTGCATGACATTATGAAATCTGAGGACTACCAAAGAATTCTGGGGTGCAATGTAGGGCCCAGTGTCAGAAAGTTGTGTCTCCATCAGAGGTCATGGGTCTTGCAGCCGGACAATGACCCAAAGCACGCGTCAAAAAGCCCCCAGAAATGGTTTCAAAGTGCTGGAGAGTCCAGATCTGAATCCCATAGAGTTCCTGTGGAGAGATCTCAAAACAGCAGTTGGGAAAAGGAACCTTCCAATCTGAGAGACCTGGAGCAGTTGGGGAAAGTAAAGAGGTCCAAAATTCCTGTAGAGAGGTGTAAGAAACTCATTGATGGTTACAGGAAGCCATTGATTTCAGTTATTCTTTCCAAGGGCTGCGCTACCAAATATTAATTGAGGGTGCCAATAATTTTGTCCAGTCCATTTTTGGAGTTTTGCGTGGAATGTGTCAGGTTTGGCTTTTTTTTCCCTCCACATTTTTGTGTCATACCAATACAAACAAAAGAAATAAACATGAGAATGCCGCAACATTTGTCATTGCAACAATTTTCTGTGCAAAGGGGGGCCTTATCTGACAGAAATGCAGGAGTGCCAATATTTTGGGCCAAGACCTTTTACACATTATATATAGATAGATTTTCTTTAAAAATATCAGTTCATGTTACATTTATCCACTAATAGAGATCTAATAACATTATTCTTATCATATGTAAAGGCCGTAATGACAATTTTGATGTGACTGGTGGATGGGGAATTTGAAGCATTGGTCACCATTGGTGGTCCTGGAAGTGAACGTTGTCAGCATTTATTTCACACGTGATACATGTTGCTATAAAATGACTGCTGTTTGCATTCCTGCTCACCAGCTGCAACAGAAAACCATGAAATCGTCCGTCTTCTCTCCCTGGCAAGGAGCACTGTAGTTAGTTGCCAGAATGGCAGAGCATGTGCTGCTGTGAGAGAGAGAGCGTTCCCCGTGCTGGTGGTCACTATACACTGAGTGGCCAGATTATTATGACCACCTGACGTTTGTAGGCAAATTAGCTATAATTTCGCGCTGAAGTTGCTAGAGGGCCAGACCATTATAAATAGGGAAGCAGGTTGTTTACCACGACAGTAGAAGTGATTTGTTTCTGAAGATACGGGGAAACAACGCGATTTAACAGCCTGTGAACGTGGGATGATTGTTGGCGCTCGGAGCCATGGAGCGAGTATCAGCAAAACAGCAGAATTTGTTAAATGTTCAAGAGCAGCTGTTGTTAAAGTGTTTAAAGACTGGACTGTCAGCCGAAAATCTGGGTCTGAACGTGCGAATTGTGGCCGTCAGCGACTGGTCAATGTTAGGGCAGAACGGAGAGTGGCAAGACTGGTACAAGACAACAGAAGGGCAACAGTGCCGTGTCAGATTCCTCGCATCACCTTTCAACATCTCGTGGAGTCACGAGGCGGCCCAACGAAGTACTGATGGGGTGGTCATAATAATCTGGCCACTCAGTGCATGTATTCTCTAAGGGAACCTGCCAGGATCTAAATATGAGAGCCGCCACTGCCAGCCTACTTTTAAAATGTATGTCAGGTCAAAATCATCCCTTCAATATATGCACATTTACCCACGTTCTGTCTCTTTAAAAATGCTTCAAGTAGAGGAAAATGTCTGTTGATGTGCCAGAAATCCAGTGAGCTCCCGATGCCCTGTAGTGCTAGTGCACTGAAATCCCAATCAGTGTTATCAGTCCAGTTTTTTCATGATGGACTATAGAACTCATTCCCTTATGGAGAGTAGAAAAGTTCTGTAGTTCATTGGAGAAGATGGCATGCAGATCAGGAAATGAAAAGAAAGTTAGAAGTCCTTATCTGCATACTTTATACCACAGTAGCAATTGCAGCCTACAGGTTTCCTTTTCATTTTTTGACCCGTTTCCTAAAGTGCATCTTTATTTTAAAGTCCCATCACCCCATTAATACTGGCTGAAATTTTGAATCAGTCTGACAGTGGAATGCTGCTCTTCAGAATAGGTTAAGTGTAGGGGGGGCCATCAGTCATATCTGCAATCTTGTTTTCCTGCAGTATTGATGGTCTACATCAGGTTTTTTTCAAACTTTTGCCCCTAAGGAACCATTGAAATAATTTTCGGTCTCGGGGAACCTCTGCTAAAACCAATTCATAGGGGGTCAGTAGGGAATATGCGTCTTTAGTTGGTGACTAGTGGCAAGAATGCCACCATTTTAGACATCTAAATAGATCATAGTTGTGGTGCTCCTGGCTCTTCCAAGTGGTGCTAGCCCCAGACCAATGCCGGAACCATCAAAATAGAGGTCTAGTGGTGTTGGCACCAGTTCAATGCAGGCACCATCAAATGGGAGGTCAGTCAACCACAGCTTAAGGACCTCCCAGCTTGGCAACATTGGGGTCTTGCTCCTGGCTCTGCCAAGTGGTGTTAGCCCTGGAGCGATGTAGACACTATCAAATTGGAGGTCAAGTGGTGTTGGCTCCAGAGCAATGCAGTCACCAAAAAATTAGAAGTCAAGCAGTGTTGTCTCTAGAACTAGGCAGGCACCATCAAATTGACGTTCAAGTGGTGTTGGCTCTGGAACAATGCAGACACCATCAAATTAGAGGTCAAGTGGTGTTGGCTCTGGAACTAGACTAGCATCCTCAAATTGGAGGTCATGTGGTGTTGGCCTTGGAACAATACAGCCACCATCAAATTGGAGGTCAAGTGGTGTTGGCTTTGGAACTAGTCAGGCACCATCAAATTGGAGTTCAAGTGGTGTTGGCTCCAGAGCAATGCAGGCACCATCAAATTGGAGGTCAAGTGGTGTTGTCTCTTGAACTAATGAAAAATTGGGAGAATTGCCCTAGGGTACAGCGCTCTTCGGGGGAGGACGAAAGGGGGGGAGTGCTATTAGAGGTGTGGGCAGGAAAGTGAGATACTCAGTGTGCTGCTTCACATGTGTAAGGACCGGGGTTTCCGTTGTTTGTCAAGGAAGAACAAAACGTGGGGATGGAAGCGCAACAACTGTGGGAGTCTGATGGGAGTGGGAAAAATTCTTGACTCTGGATGGTGTTGTATCCCTCGGGATGGTGTGGAGCTCCAAGTGAAGGGGGGGAGAGAGAAGGAGATGGGGAAAACAAATGAACTTCTTGTAAGTGTAGAGAAATAAAAAGAGATTTAGAGACTCACCAAGAGGTTCTCAGTGACATGCTGTAATCGACGGTTGTGAGGGTTGTTCTGATGCCGGTGTAGTGGGAATTGCCGGTATCTCCTTTGTGTTGGTCTGGGAGCCGATCCCATGCCGAGCAGTGGGTGAGCTGTCTGCCCGGAGAATGTCTGGGTCCACTCCGTGTTGTGCTAGGTATGGTGCCGCTGGGGGTAGAGGCCTTCAGATGTGGAAGGTGGGAACGTCTTCTTAGTTCGTTGGTATGCCCCCCCAATGGCACTAATCTTCGAGTGCTGATGAGCGTGGGAAAAGTCCCGAGCCGCGCTAAAACGGCCGGCAAGTGACAGGAGCCGGGAGGTGGACGAACGCCGGCTGTGTCCTACGTGTGTGGAGGTAAAGATGGTGGGGGTCACCCGCAGTACAGGAAAGTCCAAAGGGGTGGAATCCAAAGTCCCCGTTGCCTGGAGTAACTAGTTCACGAGGGGATGGGAGAAGGCGTCCCCATGGGTGTCCGTTGTGTGGCGGGCGGCTGCCCGTGTGAAACAGCCAAACTTCGGCCCCCCAGCTGTTGTGGAACTAGAAGTCCCATATGGCATTGCAAGACTGTGACAGCCACAGGCATAACTCCCAGATTCAGATGCATGATGGGATTTGGGCCAGAGTGTGGGTACCTCTGCTTTACCACTTGGTTATCGCCCATTAGCGACGCCCTTGAGTCTTCAGCGCACATTTCTGAATCCCCAAAATTGAGAGTAAAAATACAAAATAACAACATCTGCTTCTGAATAGAGCCGGGAGTCTCGTCACATCTCCCAAAAATAACAAATGCAGTAACTCTGTGTTCTTTCCACCCTGGCAGCTCTGCATGTTTGTGCCTCGCTGCGCAAACTCATTCCAGCAGATCACAGCTCATTACGTTGTTGGAAACTTTTGCTGAAAGTGGGATGTGTTTTCCGCCCTGTTATGCAGAACAGGATTCTCTGAGAATCTTTCATTTGCTTTTCTGTCTTGCAGAGTCGGCAGCTGGAATCGGAGACGGGCACCACGGAAGAGCACAGCCTGAACAAGGAGGCGCGCAAGTGGGCTACCCGAGTGGCAAGGGAGCATAAGAACATCATCCACAGCCAGCGTGTAGGTATAGTAGACGCACGCCAGGGTCCGCCTGCTGTTTGTTGTGCCCTGACGATTTTGTGAAACCTCCATGTGCTTTAAATAGAAAGCCGAGCTCCAGCCAAAAACCGCACAATCAAAATAAATAGCCCATTAAAAGATCAAATAAACTAGATTATACAGCAATATTCAACTTTAATCCAGAGATTTCCCCCACAGTACTTTTTTCTGCTGCTAGATGTGCTCAGTCTGATGGGCAGCAGCACGCGTCCCATTTCCTCTAAGCCAGGGGTCGGCAACTCCGGCCCTCCAGCTGTTACGAAACTACCAGTCCCGTGAGGCATTGCAAGCATGACGACTCCCAAAGACAGAGGCATATTGGGGTTTGTAGTTAAAGCACAGCTGGAGGGCCTGAGTTGGCCACCCCTGCTCTAAGGCCAGCTTGTTCTGGACCCGCCTCCATCCTGTGACTGGACAGGGGAAGGAGAAGCAGCAGAGTTGTGAGGAAGGCGAGTACCTCTCGGATAGTATTCTATTCCTCCTGCCTGGACAGGGCTGTAGCTAGCTCCTTTTGCGCCAGAGGCAAGAACAGAAAATTGTGCCCCTGAAAAGACGTGTTATGTGACGTCCCGCCTCCAGGATGGCGGCCCACATGAGCCAAATGCGCTGGTGGCCAAATCCAAAACGGCATAAAAACTTGTTCCGTTTGACGAAACGAATGAAAACATTTTTAGTTTCCGTTCATTTCGTCCGAAACAAATTTTTAGTCTTTGCACATGTCTAGTAATGTGCGTGCGTGTGTTTTTAAGTTGTTTTTTTTTTAATTTTATTTTTTTTATTATTTTTTTTTTTTTACTGTTGGGGTCATCGGGGAAATATTAGGGGTCTAAACCCCTCTCTAGACACCGACATTTCCCTTTTGAAATAGAAAAGAGAGTCCTCTGTCCATACAGGCGGGGGAGAGAAGCGGGGATCCGAGGAAAAGCTGGAGCCTGTGCTGCTCCTCTTCTCCCTCCCTGCCCTGTGTTGGTCGCCTGGTGCCCCTGTTGCCAATGACAACAGGCCGGCCCTGGCTACGCCCCCTCTCAGCTGCACCAGAGGTGAGTGCCTCACTCGTCCCATGGTAGCTACAGCCCTGTGTCTGCAGTTCAACTTTAAATTACCCAGCATAGTTCTATGTCCTGCTGAGGAACGCACTGCAAATTGGGGCATGGATCTGCGGTCACAGAGGGGTTAAACAGAAAATATCTGGTGGCATCATTTGTCCCTCTTGAATCCCGATTTTATGGAGTCACTTTGTCCCCATACAGGCCCTGGATGATCTAGAGTGTCAGAGCACGCCGCCTTCAGAGCAAGGCCGGGCGGAACTGGAGCAGAAAGTCGAAGAAGCCAGAGAGGGTATTCGCAAAGCCGAGGTAAGGGAGCGGAGTCCACAGAAATCTGAAGTGTATTAGCTTGTGTGTGATTCACTCTGCATTATATACTGAATACATCTGCATGTAATTTACACTTGTACCAGACTCACAACTTCTCCACACATGTAGTGCGAGTTTTACAGCTTTCCAAGTGACAATTGAGAAGCCGGTACTCAAGCTGGCCATACTGTGGGTGGCCCCATGGCATCCTTCAGTATGAAAATCATCTGCAATCACTGTTCGCTTGCTTTTTTTTGCCACCTGAGGCAGCACAGTTGGGTGCGGCGTCCCGCCAAGCTTCTCCACGTCACTGGTTGCCGGGGGGTTCAGCGGGACACCAGCAAGAGCATCCCAGGTTGCTAACAGGTGGACGGAGAGATGTGTATGGCCCTTACGTATCTCCCCGCCCGGCTCTTAGCAACCTGTGGTGCTCTGGCTGGAAAGAGGGTGGCAGGAACATTGCAAACACTGTGCAGCAGAGCAGCCAATGCACTCAGCCTGACGCACGAGATGCTGCCTGAGGCCATAGCCTGCAAATGTGGAAATGCACTTTATAGGTGAATATTGGGCAAAGCGCTAAGTACGCAGATGAAATGCACACTGTGTATGGAAGATCTAATATCTGCTAAAGGGGTGTGTATTTCTTTCTATCCAATCCTAAGATTTACACGGCTCTGCAACCCAGCACAATAACTCATTAACATATACAGTTCTTGTCCCTCCCTCAGCCTGTGACTGGACAGTAGATAAAAGCTGATTGGTTGCCATGACAAATTCTCCAGTTTTGCCAAATTACCCCGTGAACTTCTCATAATGTGCATTGAAAGCTGTAGCAAGTCAGATAGAGCCGGCCTCATTCACCTGGCAGGAGGATGCCCAGCATCATCTGGGTCCTTTCTTCTCATCCTGACTGTCCCTGGCCCGCTTCTTTCATTCATTGGATTTCAGTTCTGTCACACATAGAGGCTCGGCATCCCATGTGGGTGTTACCTAGGAGGGTCTGTGTGCAAATACAATATGCCTAGGAACGCCCACTCCTCCAGATTGACACTCACCCATCAAGGCATTTTGATATTTGCATAACTCCTCCCCAAGAGCCAGCCCACTGCTTGCATCAGGACTGCAGGTGTTCTATCAAAGTTTGTGACTACATTAGAATGTGTGACCGGTGACGTGGTCACACATTTTAACGTAATCCCGCCCACTTTTTCGGCGGTGAAATGTGTGACCACCCATTAGGTCAAGCATTCGAATGCTTTGTCAGCAGTTCCAGGGCAGATCGGCATCGCAGATCGTATGTGCAGGAGAACTGATCTGCCCTGGAACAGTTGATCGGTCCTCAAATGTGACTTTGTGGCATGTGAGATCGCAGTCACAGAGTCGGATAGAAATTACATTTCAGGACGATCAGCTGTTCCAGGGCAGATCTGTTCTCCTGCACATACCATCTGCGATGCCGATCTGCCCTGGAACAGCTGACAAAGCGTTGGAATGGTTGACCTTTTGGTCACATATTCCACCGCCAAACAACTGGGCGGGATTACGTTAAAATGTGTGGCCACGTGACCGGTCACACATTCCAACCTAGTCACAAACTTTGATAGAACACCGGGTCTTGAGAGGCCCTCCCACCAGCCATGATCTGCCTGCATTGCACAGAGACCCAATGATGGTCACCCAGTCTACAATAATATGTTATTAGCATGTTGATGAGGTGGGAGGGAAGAACCAGGGAAGTGGAGAAGTTGGCAGCATTGGATTGCTTCACTGTGCCCGGAGCGTTCTGTACAAAAAGGACACATCAAAGCTTTTCTAATTGATCTTTTTGCAGCGAGTTACTTTGTAGCAATGTGTCCAATGAAAATCAATATCTGCTTTTTAGGTTGTTGCAGCATTTCACATTGCAGCGTGATGTGTGAAATCCTATCGGGGGAATGATTGGCGTATTGTGTGCGCGCCCCACCCCCCCCCATCCCGAGACTCGTGAAGGTTTTATTAGGAGATCCTCGCTGTACAGCATGGCGATAATCAAGCGTCTCCGTCTGATTTATGGGCCACAGTCAGTTTCCGATGATTCTACTCACAGCTTTTGTTGTGTTTGCGCTGTTCAGAGACACGGAGGCCGGCCGCCTTCCTGCTTACATGCGTCTCCTCCTGCTGCACTTTAATTAAGATTTAATTAGCATTGTTACAAATAGAAGTAATTATAACCTCCTGCTGGAAACATATTCATTTTATAGCGAGCGGCAGCTACTCCAGCGGCCTTGCTGCGCAGGTTGGCCACGATATTCACGTTTTTCTTTTAAAGTGACCTCCCCTTCTGAAAATACTGAACGCAGTCACTCACGTAGCTGGGTGGATCTCGGCAGTATTGTCGGGATCCATCCCGGCTGCGGTGCTCTCAGTATATAGTGGGCAATAGCCTGCGGTATACTGAGCTTTGGGTCACAGGAGGATGCTAGTATACAGCCTCCCGTGACCCTAAAGAGAACTATGGGGAAAACACTTACCCCATAGCTCTGTTTAAAGGAGACGTTGGGGTCTATTAGACTTCTAATGTCACCAATGGACCCCAGTGAATTTGATCAAGTACAGAGCATGCTTGACTAGCTTCTTTCCTGGCTACAGCGTCCAGGGAATCGGAGTGCTGAAACAGGAAGTGACAAAATTCTCGTCACTTCCATGATCTTTCCCCGGAGCAAGATGTCCTCTGAGTTCCTTCTCTACCCGCTGACACCCACTAAGACCGACCTGGACTCGCAGCGGGGCACGGGATACATGGCGGGGGAATTTATTAACTTCCATAGCCAAATATCACCGCTCCTTCACAGAGAGAATGGCAAGTGCACACTGCCCGAGTCAGTCTTGCTCCAGCATCAGCAGTTACTCACAGAAAATAAGTTTTCTTCCGGTCGCACACCGCAAGCTTCGCTGAAAGATGTATTTTTAGCACACAGGTGCACATGGTCCCATCATGGATCCTCTGACGTGACGTCGGCGTGAAGAGGATCCATGGGAGGACGATGTGTACCTGTTTGCCATAATAAAGTTTTCAGCGATGCTTGCGGTGTGCAACCGGACTTATTTTCTGTGAGCAGCCGGGGTAGTTTATTAGGTGGCTTTGCAGCTGCCTGAATCACTTCCAGCAGAAAGTCAACAGTTGGCTGAAGAAGTATAAACACATATGTTATGCTGCAGTGAAAAGTGCATGCTGATAGAAGGATAGAGCAGAGCAAGGGAGAGATGAGCTCCTCATTGTGCTGCTTCTCCTTTCACTGTCCAGTCAGTGCAGAATAAGAACTAGACCTTTAAGAGCTTGTTCACACCATATACAGTGCATTGCAGTGCAGCTGCTGGAACACACTATCGCACGGCTTCCTGCGTTCAGAGGCAGAAGGGGGTGTGGCGGTGCATTGATGGCAATGACACCAGAGCCACGCCCCCCAGCCCGCAGTGCGATTTCCAGCACCAGAATGTGTGGCCAAACGATGCCTGTGTTCCAGATCTGAGAAAAATGCTGCGAGCACTATTTTCTAAGATCGCACTGGACTGGAACACAGGCATTGCTTTGCCTCGCGTTTCCGATACGGGCGATCTCACTGCGGGGGGCGTGGCTGCGTTGCCATTGACTCCAATGCACCGCCACGCCCCTGAACGCAGGAAGCCGGCCGGGTTGCGATACAGTACGTTCCAGCAGCTGACTGCACTGGAATGCACTGTATATGGTGTGAACAAGCCCTAAGTATTACAAAACTTCAATAGAGAAAAGTGAAACTTCCTTCCCTGCCAGACAAGGCTGTGCTGTATGAACGAGCTGTGTAAATCTCAGAAGTGGATGGACAGAAGTACAACTCCTTTAGCATGTAACACATCTCGCATGTATGTATTGTGTTTAGCTGTTTGCCTGGAGTTCAGCTTTAACCTTTGACTGCTGAAAACACTTGAAGGAGAAGTCCCAGCTGTGAGCTGTGTGAGTCCATCTCTCTGTAGGATGATTCCTCCGAGCGTAATGCAGCGGGTTTAATTAATATTTTTAAATAATTAGTGTACCCCTGGGGGGGGTGGGGGTAGTTATCCAGCGTGCTCAGTACTCCCAGAGCAATCATGTGTAATCTCGCGCTCCGTGTGATTTTTCCATTGTTTCTGGTCTCTGGGATTTTGGAAATGTGTTCCTTCAGGCATTGCTGCCTATTGGGAATAACTTTAACGTGTTGTATCGGTTTGATAGGTGTAGAAAAATGACCTGTTCCCCCTGCCAGAAATTCAGGGCTGTCCAGGGTCCTGAGCACACTTCCTGTGTTAGCTCAAGGAGAGTAAAATGCCCTCCTAGTTCTTATCTTGGATTGCAGAATGATTGGTGTCTATGTTGTGGAGATAAAGATGTGGTGAGAATTTGAGTAGTTTAGCAAAAGACAACTGAACAGGGCTGACACCAGTCTACACAGTTTGCTAAATTGCTGTGTGTGGTCAGCCCACACTAGGAAATACATATGCTTGATCAGCTTCAACATGCAGAGGGTTAGGGGGTCTAATCGAACCAGTTACCTGCTCTGTGCTGTTACATGATCTGGTATTCCTTGCAAAGTGTGAAGCATGCTCTACTCCTTTGGTAAATCAACCCCAATGAAGGGAATTTATCATAACTGGAGCAGACAAAATCTGGGGCAGCTGTGCATGGCAACCAATCAGCTTCTCTCTTTCATTTTCAAATCTTTACTGAACAAACTCAGGAGAGAAGCTGATTGGTTGCCGTGCACAGCTGCCCCAGATTGTGTCTGCTGCAGTTTTGATAAATTCCCCCCAAGGAGTGTTAAATTTGATGCTCCCGTCAAAATTACAAATCACCCTAGGACATGCTTTTGGGCGAGTGCCTTTCACTTCTTTTTTTAAAGCTGAACTCTAGACCAGGCGTGCGCAACTCCAAACCTCCAGCTGTTGTGGAACTACAAGTCCCACGAGGCATTGCAAGACTCTGACAGCCACAGACATGACTTCCAGAG